TCCATTCCTTGGTTCAAGCTGCATATAAGGATACATATTATTTTTGCGAAGTCAGTCTACTCACATTGACCCTTTGCCCAACCACAATATACATGTGATATCTGCTAAGGCAACGTGGCTTCGCCCCAGAGGGAAAAAAGGCTTTCTGCCGATTCAGAACAAACTTGAACTTGAACATCAGCCAAGACGCACATTTCAGAATCTCTGGTTCAATTTTTCGGCCGATTGACCTGGACCAAAAATTAGGAATGTATCCTAATAATAAGGGGTTGAACTGGAAAGAGTCCAAGCCTGACAAGCTTTGGTTTACTCAGAGTGTGCCATTGCAAAATTAATATACAAAGGCTACCATCTCGGGCATCTCGATGGTCCCTTTCAACAACATTCCTCATGTTCTGCCTATAAACATTCGGCAAGAGGCTGTTCATCCGCACGAGTTGGATCTATGTTTATCACTCGAAATTTGAAACACTGATATCTGCGGAGGGGTTTCACTCATGGTTACAATCTAACCCATCCAGTTTGTCCTGCCTAGTGCATTTTTTTTTCTAGGGAAGGCATCCGAGATGGCGGATGAATAGGCGAAGAGGTCTAAGTGGATTTACTAGTCAAGTCCTCCGAACAAACTCAATACGACAGTATACAAATATGTACATAGATGCTTGGCGACACGCACAGGCAAAGACATCCTTGAAAATGCGGCTACATATGTGGTGAGGACTCCTGTGAAGTTTGAGTCATCCTCCAGACGCGTTACTTTTCTGAGTTCTCCTAACCTCAGGTAACTGAGGTAAGCTCTCCGCTTCATATATTGGCACATAGCAGTTTAGAACATTGTCATGTCCCATATTGGATCGAGCGACAGGCACATACATCAATGGATTCAATTTAAACACCAACCTGCGCCAAAACAGTGAAAGAGGCGGCCACCTGATGACGCAGCCGGCCACCCATTACCGCCGGCGCGTCCCGTCATGAGTCCTCAAACCCAGGACTACATCGTCTCCTATTCGGATTATTTCATCTACACGAACCTTTATTCCGAGCCGGTCGACCCTCAAATTACTCCTGCTCCACTTGGAGTTGGAGACATAGCCGCCTACTGCTTGAGCCAAGCCTTTATTTACGGTCAAAGTCAGATTCGCAACGTCGTAGGCGATTCAATGGCAAGCATTTTCGCCACTGAAAGCACGAAAGTCCCCATGACAACACTTTGGGTGCCTCCCGTCCTCTCCAAGTTGCCAAGACATCGCTAACGGCCCCTCCCAGTGCAGGCAGCATACATACGGGGAATCGTCGAATTTACAAGGACGGTAAGTAAATTCTCATCCAAAGGATCCCACTGAATACCCACAGGCAATGAAAACCGACCTCGCCTGGGTTGACGGTCCACTTGACGGGAACCTGCCATCTACTATGAGCCGTGCAATAAACGGTACAGCACTGATAACGGGAATGTCATGAGGCAATCGGCCCAGCGATTCTAATACCCAGTACATTCGTCGCCATCGCATCAATTCTAATACCCAGTACATTCGTCGCCGTCGCATCGATCCTCATCGTGGTCTTTGTTCAATTGAAAAACCGCAAGATCCCGGGGCAACATGCGGATTTCGACCCCAACAATCCGCTGTTGCTTATTACGGCTGCGTCGGTGGGGGGGGGATAAGCGACATGTTCCGTGGGTTAGCGGAGGGGGACGTCAAAGAAGGAAGGTTGAAGGAGGTAACGTTTGGGCAAATCGGCGACAAGGATGGATTTGTCGAAGTTGTGTGAGGCGGCGGAGGAGGAGATTTGGATTGCCTAATCCACCACACTCATTCATACGTTGCTTCATATGGAGGCATATGGTTGGGTCTAATTTCGATATTCACTGGGGTAGCTACATCGTCGTTATTGGTGTTTGCGCTTTGACGCCACGTTCATTGTACCATTTATTGTAAATTCTAGCATGTTTTAATGCGTGCATTCGCCACCCTCTTATTTGTAGAATGTATCCTTCAAATGATTTGGTCCCAATTAAGAGCGCTGGTTAAACGCTCGTGAGCTCGAGATGATCATTTAAACAATCGAACCAAAAATCAGAAATGGCACACGTCTTCGATCTGACTGAAGCACGGGAAAAGTGAACCCCCCAGTTCGCCGGGCCCGGGGTCACATGGGATGAGCCTGCTGTTAAACCCGCAGTGTTTACATCGAGTTTTAACCCCGTAAAGGAACTGGGAATAAACCGGTTTTGAGAAGTTTATAAGTTTTAGTGTTGCAAGGAGATTCCGAATAAAAAAAGATATACACAGATCTTCGTGTGTAAGTACAAGCGTGTAGGCAATGTGAAAGGCGATTCCAACACAAGAATGGCATTTGTCCTAAACTTGAGGAGGACGGGAACCCAGTCCCCGCCTTTGCTGCGAGCGAATTCAATGCGGGGTTGATCTCGACGCACCGGGGGATTGTTCCGTACGAAGCCGACGGTGGTGAGGTGAAAATGGTCCAGGCCCCCTTCTCGAGATGCCTTTCTTTTCTGAATAACAAGCCCAGTCAGAACTTTCGAACCATGCAGACAAAGTTTGCTTGCAGGCTGGAAGACGGACGGTATATCAACCGCGCTTATGCCTGCGTGGCCCTACGTAAGTAATTCTTCAGCGTGTTGTGCGAGCGCCGCCAACTCAACCTCAGGCGACGCAGTATTCAGATTCTGCGCGATCGACTGTTTCATCCATAATACAATAATATATCAGTTTCGAGAAGGAATATTTAACAAGCAAGAACGAGGAACGCACCGGCGCGATCGTTAACGTCGTGATCGAGCTTCTCGACCGACCGACGCCAACAAGCTCATGGTGTCACAGTCCGACTTTGGAATGAGCTCAGACCCAGAAAAGAGGGTTCGAATATTAGAGCGTAATGCCTTCTCACGCTGCTTGTGGGCCTCGTTCTAGAGATAAGCCACAGCGAGGAAACACATGGCATACGAAGAGCGGCACCGAGGAATTCACATATAAGAAGAGCGCCTATGATGTACCACACCCAAAAATGAGATGTTCGGCGGCGGGTGCCCGTTCTCAGGGCGGTCAACGTTGGCGCAGCAGAAGCAGTGACGAGGTCATTTGCGCTGCGAACGATACACTTCAAGATATGGGTGACGAGAGACATTTATTTTTTGAAGTGGCGAGTGTGGTAAATGGGTAGAGGACCTGGCGAAATAAAATACTGACTCTTCCGAACGATCTGAATGATTTCTCGACCGGTCCAAGCTACTGTGTTGGATTTCCGACCCGAAAACGTTGGATTTGGCTGTTTTCGCACCTTGTTTTTTGCTGCACATGCTATATCACCCCAAGTTTCGTCCGCATTCTCGATCGGACTTTCAAAGCATGAAAAGACCAATTTTGAAGGGTGGCACAATATCCGTGGTTTGTGATGATTTTTTTCCTTGCGCCAGCGACAGATTGAACGTTCGGGAATTCAATGCGTTTTTGAGTTGAAATGTACGCATGAGGATCGGACTTGGAGTCTCAGGAGTCCATCTCGTCAGCGGCCAAGATCGGACCATGCGTTTTTTTTCTGCGAAAGTGCCCACATTGGGATCGGAGTCGGGCTGTAAGCCCTTTTTCGACTCGCGCACCAGGATCAAACTTCTAACCGTATATCCATTCATGAATCATCTCTGTAAAGATTTCCCATCCAAGACAGAAATAAGTAGGTTGCTTTCTGGGCAGAATAACTAGGCTGCTTGGCTGAGTACCGCAGAGGGGCCTCGAGACGCTGAGACGCACAAGAATTCCGGCGAAGGATCTTGGGTGTCAAACTTGAAGGATTGTAGTTTTGTCGCAGTTGAATAAGTAAGTATCTGCTTGATCCGACTTGAACAAACCAGGGAGGATATAGAGATTTCGAGCGGGTTTCAGATGATTCACCTGTGAATACCTCGATTGTGGCAGCATGGACCGGCACGGATTCGATGTGGTGGCAGAACAAAAGGCAGGATCGGACTCGGACATTCGGACCCGACGCCCGCGGCCGATCAATTCGATCAAGAGTCAGGTGTCCCTTGCGCAAGGCCTTGTACTTCACCACAACTTCCCCTCCAATGCGCAGGCCTACCGAAAATCTTAGGCTGCCAATGTCAGTTAACCCGAGATGACGGGAAAGGAGTGAAAAAGGGATCGGCGACGGGTCCTGCTCGTATGGCCTCGAAGACAGCGACGACATCCTCATGTCCCACTGGGACGGCGCCATCATCGGTCCAGGCCACACTGTCCATGAGAACCGCATCTACAGCTTGAAGATTACGTGTGGCGACCAATACCCTGACCGGCCCCCGACTGTGCAGGTCCGTGCCGCTGCGTGCTCACACCCACGCTCACGCTCACCCTAACGCGTCCGCCCGCCCACAGTTCCTCTCCCGCGTCAACCTCCCCTTCGTCTCCCAGACCGACGGCATGGTCGACCCCGCAAAGCTCCCCGTCCTCGCACACTGGACCCACCGCAGTAGCCTCGAGCTCATGCTGGTCGAGATCCGCAAGTGCGTCCACGCTCCTGCCTTTATTTATTTCATCTTTGCGTTCTTCTTTTCACCTTTCCGTTCCTTTCCTCCACATCTTTCCTTGGCTCCACATTTCATTTCGTATCTTTACCTTCGCGTTCCTTTCTCTGCCTTGCCTTGTTTTTGTTTGAAGCCGATTTTCTGAAATTACGAGACCGGTCTACCGCTGACCCATTGGAGCTTGGAGGTTATTCAGTGGAGGTGTATGAGAGGATAGACTCCGGCAGTGCGGTGTATTATACAATGTGACAAATGAACTCACTCACTCGCTCACGAATTCTGTACATACACGGCTTCTCAAATCTCAGACCCACCCTTCTCTTCCTTTCCTTTCCTCGGACACACCGACACTTCGGTCCTTTCCCTTTCCTTTCCTTTCCTTACACCGCATCAAACCGTACGAACCGCCCGGGCCAAAAAGATTTCAAGTAAGAAGAAAGTCAAAATCCACAGACGCTCCAAGCGGGAATCGAACCCACATTTGCCTCGAAAACAGCGAAGGATATGGGTGAAATTTCGAAACCGGTCCACCACTGACCCATTGGAGCTTGAAGTTTTGGTGGAGGTGTACGATAGGATAGACTCTAGCAGTGTGGTGTATTGTACAATGCGACGAATGAACTGACGACGAACTCTGTACATACATACATGGCTTCTCAAATCTCAAACCCACATTTCCTTTGCTGTCCTCGGATGCAACGACATTCACACTGGAAAGTGAAAAAAACTGTCTAAAGCGAATTTGTATATTAATTTTTAAGATTCACACCCACAGTGAAACTGTTAGTGAAATTTTAACTTTCATATATAATGCCACGTGACCTGAATCTGTTATTGAAATTCAAAGTTTCAGACACAGTCTCAAACTATATGAATGTTAAAAATTCAGTGACAATTTCAGTACAAGAGTGAATCTTAAAAATTAATATACAAATTCACTGTGGGTGAATTTTCCCATTTGTGCACAGGAAACCTCCACCACAGTCAAACCACACCAGAACAAGACATACTTGGGAGAGAAATGATTTCACCCACAGTGAATTTGTATGTTAATTTTTACATTCACTCTTGCACTGAAATTGTAACTGAATTTTTAACATTCATATAGTTTGAAACTGTGTCTGAAACTTTGAATTTCGGTAATGAATTCAGGTCACGTGACATTGTGTATGAAAGTTAAAAGTTAAAATTTCACTAATAGTTTCACTCTAGGTGTGAACCTTAAAAATTAATACCCAAATTCACTTTAGGTGATTTTTTTCACTTTCTGGTGTGCTTCCGTCCTTTCCTCCCATCCACTGCAATGAACCGTACGCATGCGCGTGCGCCCGGGCCAAAAAGCAAACTATAGCCAGTCCACGCTCCAGGCGGGATTCGAATCCACGTCTGTCTCGAAAACATTCACGAACCTAGTGAAATTACGAGACCGGTCTCCCACTGACCCATTGGAGCTTGGATTCCCACTGTGGATATTGGTTTGGTGTGCACTCGACGAGTGACAGACCTTCAAACCCAAGTTACTTATGAAATTCAAAACTCGAGTGATCAGCGTGAATATAAACAAATCTGCATACATAACAAGCTTTATCAACGAAACTTCCGCAATTGAATCCATCCATTGCCGATGCCAAACAAAAACAAAAACCCATTGGTTTAAATGATCATGCAGGCTCCAAGCGGGAGTCGAACCCACATCTGTCTGCCAACTCTCAGATACATGCAGGAAATCGTCAGGCCGGTCTACCATTGACCCATTGGAGCCTCATAGCAGGTGGGCATTCCCAAAATACCATAGGGTTTTCATCAAAGTGTTTCTCACTGGCTTCAAAGCTTCAAGTTCATCAGGCTGGTCTACACTGCCCCATTAACCTGTTTGCGCAGAAGCCATATGACCCACGTCATGGCTTTCTCACCGTGCGCAATTTTGGCAGGCAAATGGCTCCAAAAGCCATTTGCACTGCATTTGCGTCATATTTTGGCGTGCGGAGCCATATGACGCGCACGGCCCAAAAGCCATGACGTCGCTCATATGGCTTTCGCGCAAACTCTCTATTGGCTCACTCGCAAACCACTCCTCCTCCTCCTCCTCCAAGTAATATGTATTGACCACAAAGAAAAAAACTTCATCCTCCTTAAGTGCTCCAAGCGGGAGTTGAACCCACATCTGCCTGCCAAGTCAGATATACACCACAGAAACCTTCAGGCCGGTCTACCATTGACCCATCGGAGCTTGATCATAGGAATGCATTCCCATAAATACTATACAGTTTCCATCCAAGTGTTTCTCACTGGCTTCAAAGCTCCAAGTTCATCTGGCTGGTCTCCCACTGACCCATTTGCTTAGAATCATCAAGTAGGATTCAAACCCAACCCACATCTGCCTGCCAAGTTTGATATACTTTGCTGAATGCACCAGGCCAGTCTACTGCTGACCCCTTGGCACTTCCAATCCTCGGAATTGTCTGAATCGTGGAGCATGTGATAGACAAACTCTGATACCCTTCTCGCCACTCCAGTTCTCAGATACAGACATGTACATGAATTGTTACACTCGCGAACCAACCACTCCTCCTCCTCCTCCAAGTACTACATATTGACCACAAAGAAAAAAACTTCATTCTCCTTAAGTGCTCCAAGCGGGAGTTGAACCCACATCTGCCTGCCAAGTCTGATATACACCACAGAAACCCTCAGGTCGGTCTACCATTGACCCATTGGAGCTTGTTTGTATGTATGCATTCCCATAAATACTACACAGTTTCGTCCAAGTGTTTCTCCCTGGCTTCAAAGTTCATCACGCTGGTTTACAGCTATTTGCGGAACTTAGAGCCTGTTCGGATACCAAAAGCCAAAAGTCACTTATGACTTATATTTCCTTATATAGTAGGCATGGGAATAAGTCGTTTGATATGACGGATTTGGCAGATGTGACACACTGTGACTTGACGTGTCGTCTTTTTATTACTGTACCGCGTCTCTCGCGCTGTCTCTCTAGGCTCCCGCGCGCACTTCCTTGAACATAGCAGCAAGGTGGAGCATGTGCCAAAATTAACCAGCAGCGAGGATGATACACGGCTGTAGGGAGCATAGCGTTAGTGGCGGCGGGGGCATGGCGCGTCGCGTCGTTGCTCGCGTTGTCACGTTTGATCATATCTTATACATCAAATCCATCATATCAAACGACTTATTCCCATGCCTACTATATAAGGAAATATAAGTCATAAGTGACTTTTGGCTTTTGGTATCCGAACAGGCTCTTAGGGCGCGGCCGGATTTTTTTTTTTTCGGGTACTTTTTCATATATTGCCCTTTTCGGGCTCAATTCTGAACCGTTTCGCTTGAAAATATGCTCGGTCAATTTGCACGGGGAATCCGCAGGGGATGGTCTTCTCAGATTCATTTTGTGTACATTTGATATCAAATTTCCAGTTGGGGGGTGATTTCGGTATATATCACCTATAACATTGAATATAATCACCCTGAGAGTGCAGTCTTTTGGTACCACAGATATACATGGAATATCCAGCGGATGGGCAGTTCAGAATATTGATTTCAAACCTCAGGAGACTGCATTAGATGTCCCAATCAAGACCAAGCAATCATCAATTCTCTTCACCAGTATTGCAGTCTCCTGAGGTTTCCAATTGATATTCTGGACTGCCCATCCCCTGGAAATTCCATTTATATCTGTGGTACCAAAAGACTGCACTCTCAGGGTGATTATATTCATTGTTATAGGTGATATATACCGAAATCACCCCCCAACTGGAAATTTGATATCAAATGTACACAAAATGAATCTGAGAAAACCATCCCCTGCGGATTCCCCGTGCAAATTGAACGAGCATATTTTCAAGCGAAACGGTTCAGAATTGAGCCCGAAAAGGGCGATATATGAAAAAGTGCCCAAAAAAAAAAAAAATCCGGCCGCGCCCTAAGTTCCGCAAATAGCTGTAAAAATACAACTGACCCATTGGCTTGGAAATTGGAATCATCAGCAGGATTCCCGCGTGTCATTCCCTTACCTTGCCTTTCTTTCATATCCTTGCCTTTCCTCTTTGTTTCCTGCTCATCTTCACCTCTGCCACATTTCTTCATTCCATATCTCTCATGTCCTTGTCTTCGTGTTTCTTTCTTCTGTATCTTCATCTTTGAGTTTCTTCCTTTCTCCCGCCTCTTTAGCGTTTCCTCCCTCATATATTTATTTTGGGCATTTCTTCACTTGTTTGCCCTCTATATCACATTATGCATCCACCACCCACTAACGAACACACAGAGAAATGGCCTCCCATGCAAACCACAAGCTCCCCCTGCCCCCCGAGGGCAGCATGTTCTAAGCGCCCCCTCTCCTTGTGCGTTGGTGCATTAGCATTGGGTGTTTGGATGTTGGATGTTGGGGGTGGGGTGTGTGTGTGGTGCAGGGAATTTGTGAAGAGAAGCCAAGTAGGGTTGGGTACGAAGGAAAGCAGGGTAGGGTACGAAAAGAAGGGGAGGTGTACAATACAATAGGATAGACTCTGGTGGCCATGGTGTGGGGTGGTGTATTATACAATGCAACAAATGAATGAATGAACTCACGACCAACTCACGTACATGGCTTCTCAAATCTCGAACCTACATTCCTTTCTTTTCCTTCCACCGCAACAAACCGTACGCGTAGCCAACAGTGAACCGCGCCCGGGCCTGGACCAAAAACAATACGGAAACCGAGTCATGCTCCAAGCGGGAGTTGAACCCACCTCTGCCCAAAATACTATGGAATGTACTATGATGACAATGATCAGGCCGGTCTCCCGCTGACCCATTGGAGCTTGGGCTTTCACTGGAGGTGTACAATAGGATAAACTCTGGTGGGGGTGTGGTGGTGTATTAAATGTGATGAACTCACTCACTCACTCACTCACGACAAACTCTGTACATACATGATACATGGCCTCTCAAATCTCGAACCCATTTCCTTCCCTTTCCTCGGACGCAACAACGCTTCCCGCAATAAAGCGCAACAGTGAACCGCGCTGCCAAAAAAACATCTTTTCAACCTCATGCACGCTCCAAGCAGGAGTCGAACCCACCTCTGCCCGAAATACTATGCAATCTATCATGATAACAATGATCAGGCCGGTCTCCCGCTGACCATTGGAGCTTGGGCTTTCACTGGAGGTGTATGAGAGGATAGACTCTGGCCAATGCAACAAATGAACTCACCCACCCACTCACTCTCACTCCGGCGCTTTCCTCTCTGTCGAACCGTACACATACATAGCCAACAGTGAACCGTGCTCGGGCCAAAAAGATTTGAATTTAACGCAATAATATTAAAGAGGTCAAGCCCAGTGAAAACCCCGTATGCCAAAACCTGCTCAGATATGCCCAAATCTGCAAGAAGTTCGGTCAATACGCTCCGATTCTGCTCAAAACTGCTGTCATCAGTTTGACTCAAGTGAATATTCAACTTTTCGCTCATTTTCAGTTCAGCCCCGCGGAAGTAATTTCGAGATTTCTTCCACTTCCAATTTCGCTCTGGCAACGTCATCGAATGCATTGAATCGATAATGCCCTCCATCGATAAGCATTGCGGACGGCAGGCGGAGTTTGAAACACTCCTTGTCTCCTACCACCACCATCGCTCTACACCGGTACCTGCGTTTGACCTGTCTGCCCTCCTTCCGCTGCTCGACATCTCCTTTCAGTCTTGTTCAGTCTACATGCCACCTCCTCCATGGAAAGAAGTACTCGTGTGTCTTGCGGGCCTTTTGATATGTTGGTGAGCTTTAGTTTCCCCAAATCCCACTCCTCTCTGCCTCTCTTCGCAGACAATCACACGCAATCATCTTTTTTTAGGTGCGTTCTGCCATCCGTGTCAGCAACGGCCCTTAGGTCAGCTGGACTATGTCCAAGCACAACACAACAGCAGCTGTCCCGGGGTGTTGAGAGAGAATCCACCACTGCTCGGATAGCAGGTGGCCTGGGGTCGAGGATCCGAGGATGAGGATGCGGCCAACCGAGCCAGCATCCATAGAACATGAGCAACCCATGCAGAGGAACCCGAAGATGTTGCGAGGAGCGATGCAACTATGTGCCAGACCCTAGTGAGAGGAACCCGCTCCGGGTTACTCGAATAGGGGCTTCGGGTTACAGGATAGGGGTTGGGGTTGCGTCTCAAGAACCCGAGAGGAGGAACCCGACTCAGGGGTACTCTGAATAGGGGTCTCGACTGGATCCAAGACAGGGGGTGTCTGAGGGGAACTCAGACAAAGTCTCTGTGCAACCCTGCCAGGGAACTAGTGTGGCGATCTCTTCCCCTCGGCAGGTAAGTGTCTCTCCTTGCCACTACCTGACGGGTCAGATCCAACACTGCTAGGTCGAGATCCCAAGGCAAGGGACAGAGAATAGGAGTTCTGGTGTTGTCGAGTGAAAGGGGAGTGAAGGCAAGACCAGAACAACGAGATGATGACAAGAGCACTCCAGGCTCAAGTCCAAGAACCAAGCAATCCAGCCAAAGTAAGGCCTGAGAATAGACGAGGTAGAATGTACAGGGGAGATTCTACCGAGTTTATATACTGCTATTAGGAGTCTGTACCTCTCTATCAACCCTATGTGTCCACCCTATGTGCCCACCCTATGTGTCGGCCCCTGGCCCTGGTTCCTGGCAGAGAGGAGTGACAGTGCCCTGAATAAACCCCTTAGGAGTCAACTCCTAAGGTCTCCTGTGTTATCCTCCTGAACTCCTGAATGTTCCGTAGGAGGATCTGATCGGGTTGATGGCGGTTTGATGGGATTGGTCGGGTTCCTAGCTCAGGAGGAACCCGAGGATGGTTGTTGTGGTAAGGTGGCGAGGAATCCATGCCTGGATGGATTCCGAATAACGGTCCGAGTGATGCCTGCCATCCATCCATAGGGTCGTATAGCCCTCTTGGGTTCTCCATGAGAGTCGAAGGAGTGTTATGCACTGGGGAATAACCCGGTCGGAGATGGGTTATTCCCAAAAAGGAATGTAGTGAAATCCGAAAAAGGATAGGGGTGATGCTGAGTCAGGGTGATTCATGACAATCCGCCCAGCTCTCTCCCCGCTGCGCACGGATTCCGTAGACGTACAATGGTAAGCTTTTGCTGTGATCCTAGTACATCTTGTTCATGCAGTTCTTTCCCAGCTCAACCTCATCGCCTCACAACATATTCGATGATCATCATCCATTGAGACCATGCAGCTTCATCCCCATGTGTCAGATTTTTCATGCGACAGTCTGCATAATGTGTGTATGCGCCCACCCTTTTGACAGTTTTTTCTCGCTTGTCTCCGACTCACTCTGGATCCATGTCGCAGTTCATCGATGGATTCGTCTGTTCAGCCTGCCCTTCTTTACCATCGTCTGCTGATCACCCTGCTGCAGCTAAACGAAGCCCGTTGCCTCGATGCCCTCCCACTCCAGCATCAGTATCCACCTCGACGTGATCCTCCTATGTGTGTTGACATGTGTGATTTCGCTCTGACTTAGGTATATGGTTCGTCGTCTTCGTTGTTCTGCACATGTGTCTGCATTAATCATCCTCTCAGATCATTCTCGCCATTCTCGGATTTGCCAATCTGGTTGGCTGTTGTTGGGCACTGTATTGGAGTAGTGTGTTGGTAGGGCGAGTACATACTGACTGTAGACCGCTCCTATTGTATTAGCTAGTCGAAATATAATGCATTTATTGATTAATATGGGCAAAAGAAGCAGGATATATAGCGGGGCATATATAAGCGTACTTGAGCAGACCTAGGCATACAGCAAGCAGAAATGAGCAGACGCCAGCATATTGAGATCAAAATCTCATATGCTATAGGCTCATTCCTATGCTCGGATCTGCTCATTTCTGCTGCTATTCAGGTCAGCAGATTTGAGCAGGTTTGGGCATAGCTCAGCATATGGGATTTTCACTGGGGGTTAAGCTCCAAGCAGGAATCGAACCCATGTCTGCCTCGACAACCGTATCGGATCCGCCTTAAATTTCGAAACCAGTCTACCATTGACCCATTGGAGCTTGAAATCATGCTGTGGATATTGGTCTGGTGTGCACTCAGGCTCAAGTTACTTATGAAATTCAAAACTCTAGTGATCAGCATGAACATAAACAAATCTACATAACAAGCTCCATCAACAAAACTTCCGCGATTGAATCCATCCATTACCAAAACAAAAATCGAAAAGTGAGATGGATGATCCAAGCGGGAGTCGAACCCGCATCTGCCTGCCAAGTCAGATATACAACACAGAAACCTTCAGGCCGGTCTACCATTGACCCATCGGAGCTTGATCATAGGAAGGCATTCCCATAAATACTATACAGTTTCCATCCAAGTGTTTCTCACTGGCTTCAAAGTTCATCAGGCTGGTTTAAAAATACAACTGACCCATTGGCTTGGAAATTGAAATCATCAGCAGGATTCCCGCGTGTCATTCCCTTACCTTGCCTTTCTTTCATATCCTTGCTCTTCCTCTTTGTTTCCTGCTCATCTTCACCTCTGCCACATTTCTTCACTCCGTATTTCTCATGTCCTTGTCTTTGAGTTTCTTTCTTCCATATCTTCATCTTTGAGTTTCCTCCTTTCTCCTGCCTCTTTGGCGTTTCCTCCCTCATATATTTATTTTGGGCATTTCTTCACTCGTTTGGCCTCCATAGCATATTATGCACTGATCACCCACTAACACACACACACAGAAATGGCCTCCCATGCAAACCGCAAGCTCCCCCTGCCCCCCGAGGGTAGCATGTTCTAGGCACCCCCTCTCCTCGCCCGTTGGTGTGTTAGCATTGGGTGTTTGGATGTTGGACATTGGGTGTTTGGACGTTGGTGGTGCTGTACATGCTGTGTGTGGTGCAGGGAATTTGTGAAGAGAAGCCAAGTAGGGTTGGGTACGAAGAGAAGGGGAGGTGTACGATACAATAGAATAGATTCTGGTGGCCATGGTGGTGTGGGGTGGTGTATTATACAATGGCACAAATGAATGAATGAACTCATGACCAACTCACGTACATGGCTTCTCAAATCTCGAACCTACATTTCCTTTCCTTTCCTTCCACCGCAACAAACCGTACACGTAGCCAACAGTGAACCACACCAGGGCTAAAAGGATTTGAAGTAAAAAGAGGTTAGAAGGCAACACACGTTCCAAGCAGGAGTCGAACCCACATCTGCCTCGAAAATTACGAAAGATTTTCCGAAAATTACGAAACCGGTCTACACTGACCCATTGGAACTTGCGTCCCTCCAGTGGATGTTTGGTGTAAGGTGCACTCAACGAGCAACAGACCTTCAAGTTATTAAGGTAAAGCCAAGACTAGGCACTCTTCAAGTTGCTTACTTTTAAATGCTACCTCAATAATCAGCGTAACGTAAACAAATCTACATAACGGGCTTGACACGTATGTGATTGAGGTCCATCCATTACCAAAACAAAAATCGCAAAATGAGATGCACGCTCCAAGCGGGAGTCGAAGCCACATCTGCCTGCCCAGCTTGTGATGCGGAAAGGAAAGCATCAGGCCGGTCTACCATCAACATTTGCAGCAGGGGAGACTGCTGAAGCTGCCAAGCCCATCGTCGAGATCATGAAGGAGGAAATGACCCCGTTGGATAAACGTGCGTTACACTCTTCTCGATCTCGTCCTGAAGCTCATCTCGGACCCCTCTTCGATAGGAATCGCAGAGCTCGAGAAGAAGCTGAAGGCCGCCGAGCAGGCTGCGACTGCCTCTTCCTCCAAAGCCAAGCCAGCCAAGGCGAAGGCACACTCGAACGCGAATGCAAATGCGAACGCGAACGAGAAGGGGAAGAGCGCAAAGCCCCAGCCCAAGAACCAGCGGAACCAGGGCGCGAACGCCACGCCCGCCGACGCCGGCGGAAGCGGCACGTCGAAAGCTGCGAAGAAAGGGAAGAAGAAGGCCAATGTGGCGGCGGCGCAGGACAGCGCATCCGATTAACCACTGAGGCTCCGCCCCCACCGCAAAGCGTACTCGAATGGGTAAGCCCGTCGGGCTCTGTATTTCACCACCACAGACCTGATACATACCCAGAACCGTTTCATGCTGCACCTATAGACGTTCGCACAAAGTTTGTTTTGACTAGAATGACGCCGTTGTATTATGACACACGATTAATCAACCGTGCCTTTCATAACCTTACAAATGTCGCGTTATCATCTGAACAAACTAAAACACTCGCACTCAATTCTAAATTCGTCCCAAGACCTAAAGCAACTCCCATTGCTTCGGTCTCTGAAAGCGTTGACGATTTTGCTCGTCGATTACGTTTAAGAGTTGACAGAGACGCTGAAGAGCGAAAACTTAATAATTTACATCAGTATTTTCCCGGTGAGCGGACGGAAAAGGGACAACCCACATATGTCCCTGATTTCCACATCCCCATGCCCGATGCCGAAGGGCCCGTGTTAATCGACAAGATTGAAGCTGCGCTGTCCAAAATGCGTACTCAAATCGAGGTTGAAATATTGAACAGACAGTCAGTCTGCATCCGTCCAAATATCAACGCCAAAGACCTCGACACTTTGCTCCAACTCTTGTCGGACAACAGCGTACTCGCTGTTCCCGCAGACAAGAATCTCGGACTGTGTCTTGTTACTGCGGAATGGTACCACAAGACCGGATTGAAACTTCTGGAAAATGACTCTTATGAAGAGTCATATCCTGACCACTCGCTGTTGAACTCATCTCTGAGGAGTATCGTTGACCGCGCGAAGGGACTACTCCCGAAACAGCAACTCACCTGGCTCTCCGCACCGCTGAACGAGCGGCGCGAGAAAATTCCGGTGCTGAAGGTCATCCCGAAAATTCACAAAACACCAATATCTGGCCGGCCCATTGTCCCTTCATTCGATACCTTACTAGAGAACGCATCGGCATGGGTTGACTACCAGATTAAACCCCTTCTCACAAAATTTCCGTGGATTCTACCAGACTCGAAAAGTTTCTGTCGGGACATCCATAACGTGAAACTTCCGAGGGGGCGTGATATTTGGTTGGTAACTGGAGATGTTGTCGCAATGTACCCCAACATCCCTATCGATGACGGGATTGCCCAAATTGCCAGCATCCTTAAGGCACCGCTCATGGAATTTATTACACCTGACGCGGGCGCCCAGTTACCCTTCAGATCTCGCAAGGAGTTGGTCATACTGCTCCTGCGTTTTATTCTGAAGTACAACTATGTATCTTTCGCGGACAAAACGTACCGACAGGTTATCGGTACCGCCATGGGGACAGCGTGCGCTCCAACGTACGCAAATCTCTTCTTGGCACCATACGAGGCACCCGCGCTTGAAGATCTTCGAGACATTATCCTTCTATACAGACGTTTCATAGATGACACTTTTGCGATCATCCATGGAACGTCGGATGATGTTGAAAGATTCAAGTCGAGGTTCGGCGCCCTCCACCCGAACATGAAGTTTGAGTGGTCGGCCTCGAGGCTTCAGCTCCCTTTCCTAGACGTGCAGGTATCCCTGGAAATTAATCCAGGTGTATCCGCAACCAATCCCCAGTTCAGATTGGTCACATCCGTCTACCAGAAAGCACTGAATGCGTACCTCTATATACCCTGGAATTCCTGCCACTCCCTTGACTCCAAGCGTGCTTGGGTTAAAGGCGAATTAATCCGCTACGTGCGATTATGTTCGAAAGAGTCCGACTTTGCCAAAACTCGTACCGAGTTCATGGTACGACTCCGTGAACGTGGCTACCCAGGCCGTTGGCTTCAAAATATTTTTGAGGAAATAAAGTACACGGTTGAGCGCTCTACAGCACTCAAACCCAAAACAGTTAGCGCTGTTACCGGGGACCCTGCACTCCACGTCCTCAAACTCACTCACAATCCAGTATGGGATGATATTGACTTAAATCCCGTCTGGCGCGAACTGGCTGATACATGGACAAATCTTGGGGGTGGCTACCCCGAATTTCGTTTCATGGCATCTTTCAAAAAGCCCCCCGCGCTGGGTGATCGGTTGAATACCACCAACCGAAGCATTTTAAGCACATACCACGAGTCAATAGTGGCACCCGTTTGATCTTCTTTTTTCTCAATCCTCGCTCGCGCGCCAGCCGGGACCCTACGGGCCCCCAGCGCCGCGCTCCCTCGGATTTCGAAAAAAACATAGAAGATTAAACGTGTTAGTGCCCTCTGTTAATATCAGGACTCACCTGTCTGCAAAATCGTTGAGCTCTCGCTCCGGTTAAGCACCCGATGTCAACGTCACACTTCTATTTCTTATCCGTCCGGGATCTACAGAACGTGTCGTGATTGAAGGAGACAGACGTGAGAAATGTCAACATTGATCTTACCTGGTGCCTTCTAGCGAAATGCTAGCGCTAGATATATAGAAGACAATGTCAAAAACAGAGCAGTGTAAAATGAACGTCGAGACCTACCATGGTTTCCGAGACCTTTACACCGGCGCGATTGTACTTCGAAATGTCAATTACCTCATTGACAGATGAAAGACCGGCAATCATTGACCGAATATAAATAGGGATACAGCCACCTGACGAGTCCTTTGACGAAACGTTGTGCTCAACGTTGTGGCCCCGCTCCTCTCTGCGACTCTCTAGCATTCACCCGGCATCCTGTTCGCTCGGCGCTTCGCGCCTCGCCTGCTCGCCACATCTGCCTGCCCAGCTTGTGATGCGGAAAGGAAAGCATCAGGCCGGTCTACCATCAACATTTGCAGCAGGGCAGATTAATCCTCCCTTGGATAATCCAAGGGAGCTCGATTAATCCATCCTTGGATTATCCAAGGGCTTAGTCGTAGATTAAATCTGGATTAATCCTACCTTGCATTAGGTATACGGTCACCCTAGTAGTATATCTTGTACCTTAAGATTAATCTAATCGTAAGGATTTAATCCCAGAACTTAATCGTTCACTTCACATATTAATTCTATGGCCTAAGATTTAATCCTCCTACACCTAAGATTTAATCCTCCTATGCCTAAGATTTAATCCTCCTGGTCAAACTAATCCTAAACTAATCCGCCAACTACTCAGAAGACCCAACTAATCCTAATCCACCGATTAATCCTATGACCCAACAAATTCTAACTCCAAACCAATCCGCTGATTAATCGTACGAAACTGACCGGCCAATTAATCTTCTAATTAATCACACGGACAGTTTAATCTTGACTAAGTTCGAGGCTCTGCTTGCGTATGTCCCGCAAGCGACGCGGGGAAGGCGGTGGCACGTCGGGCATGTCGGGCACCACTCGACACCGTTTCGTTGGCTTTGGGCGGCATGA